ATATTTATTTATTTTATTTTAGGGAAGGATCTACAGGGTGTTCAGAGTCTCACTACTGGATTGGACTCATAGTGATCAGCCTGTTTACAGCCTCCCGAGAGCTGGGATTACAAGCATGTGTCACCACGCCCAGTCTCAATTGCCATCTCAGCACACTCCGGGGGTGGGGCCAGCGTAGCAGACCTGGGTTTCGAACCTCCGCCCCTGTGCCTGCTTGTAGGCACTTTAATCTGCTGAGCTATTTGGCCAGCTCTTATATTTTTAAATAATTTTATCTTTGTTATAATTACTTTTAAAAACAAATAGTATAAATGGGATTGTTTTCTATGTATTTTAATTTGTTATTGCACAGAAATGTGATGCATTTTTGATGATTTATCTTGAAGCGAGTCTTGTTTCCTAGTCTATTGTACTGTAGTTTCTAGATAAGCTTTATCTCCTGCGCAGTTAGCGTCTGTGTTCTTGTTTCTCGCTGTGTCGGCTGCTTCTTCTAGGATGGTGTGCAGTGGCATTGGTGGTGCTCTTGGCATTTGTGTTGTTCTTCATTTTGGTGCACGGGTTTCTCCTATTCAGTACTACCTGTCATGTGCTGTGTTTTCCTGGTGGATGTCCTTTACTCTTTGTTGTGTTCTTTAATGCTTTTATACTCCTGATTTCATGAAAAGTTCCTGTCTACTCCTGCCTGTGTACCCAGCACCATGGGAGGCTGAGGCAAAGGGAGTGTGATTTGCAGCCCAACTTGGGCAATTTAGTGATTTAATAAGAACCTGTCTCAAAATTAAGAAGAAAGGAGTGAGGGAATGGGGCTAGGAATATAGCTTAGTACAAAAATGTTCATATTATTCCTGAGTGCTGACTTTGCTCTGCTACTTTTTGGTCAGGTATTTAGATGCTTTATTATTACTTTTATAGATTTCCAAATGGTGCATGATCCTCATGTTCTTGAGATAAACCTCACTTGGTATCTTAGGTTTGTTGTCTCTCAAGACAAAATACTTGACCCCTAAAGTTAGAGGAGGAAGGATTCATTTAGCTCCCACTTTGTGGAGCTTTCTGACCATACTGGGCTGGTGCCAAGGCAGGGTGGAGTGGCAGTGGGGGCAGCTGTTCATAGTGGGTGAAGACAGCTGAAGCAACAGTGGATGGAGAGACAAATGTCTTTCTGTTTCTTCTCTTATATCCAGTCTACCATGATTAGGGTGATGTCAGTCCAATCAGTGGACTGACCCAGTAGTCACCCACCCTTAGCCCCAGCAGTCTAAATCCCAGCATTGCACTAAAATCAGTTCTACACTGTAGATTCAGCCACTTATAAAAATGGCCTTATGACCACATGAGGCTTTTTGGGGACATAGAGGCACAAACCAAAACACTTGGTCCTCTTTTCTATTGTTTTAAGAGACAACTTTGGTTCATTAATATTTTCATTTAGGCTTTTTACAGCTGTGTTGATAAGAGGCTTTAGTCCATGATTGTTGGATTGTGTGTGTGTGTGTGTGTGTACTCACGTGGATGTATGCACACCACTTTGGTTTCAGTGTATTGCTCATTTTGTAAGATGAATTCTAGAAGTTTAAATAAAACTAAAAAAAAAATTAAAGTTACAAAATGTTTTCTAATGTTGTGATAGAACACATAATGGTCTAAATGTAAGATGGAAATATTTCACTAAGTATATAAAAAAAAGTTGTTGCTATTGTTGCTACTCTTCCGACCCCCTACTTCTCTTGGCCAACTTTTGTACTTCTGTATTTTCCTTAGAAATTCATCCATTTCATTTAGCATCTGAAATTGTTGCCTTACTTGAAGTTGCATATATTTTGTAAGAATGAGATTCTTACAGCTGTTTTAAAGTGTTTTACCATAACTATGTCTTCTACATCAAAAGCTGTATCACGTTGTGAATTTATAATGTTTCTGATAGTTCCTTTTATCTTGTGGTCAGAGTTTCCAAGAACTGAATTTTATGGCCTTTCTGATTTCTTAGGTCCTATTTTGTTGTTGTAAATGCACCTTAATGGCATTCAATGCCCGCCCACCCCCCTTGCACACTGAGAGGGTGACTGAGACTGGGCGTGGTGGCGCGCACCTATAATCGCAGTGCTTGGGAAGCTGAAAATAGGAGGATCACTATGAGTCTGATCTGCGTAGGGAGACCCTGTAGACCCTGTACTAAATACATAAAAAAAAAGAGAGACAAATGCACCTCAAGTTAAATGATTGCTTCGATGCTTTATCTTTACCTTGGATGCATCCAGATGTTTTCATATAAGAGTCTGCACCATTAAACATCTGCGTTGTGATTTTACTTCTGAACTTTTTAACCTACAGGATACTCAAGCATGGTATCTTGCATAACACTGAAAAATCATCTGCATGATTTTTTCCTCCAGTTTTTTGTTGTTATCTTTCACTTTTGGTGCCTCTTAGATAAATAATGAAACTTGTCTCCTGTGTCATTATTTACTTTTGGAAATCATTTATAATCTGTTGTCATTTGAGGCAAAGATTTATAGATTATGTCATATCAGAGTTTTGAATTACTTGATATTTGCATATTCTAAAATATGTTTCATGATTTATTTACTCATTCTCCTAATGATATTAGTTTGTCTCTATTTTCTCTTTGGCAGCATAAAATAAGTTGCTGTGAACAGTTTTATGCATACGCCTTTGGTTAAAAAGCGTTACTTTTGTAGGATAAGTTCCTAGAAGGAACAGTTTTCCCATGGAATAATTCTAAAAATTCTCAGGCTTAATTTTATGCATAATAATAGCAATATACCTTCAGTTTGTTTATTCCATAATTATTTGGAATTTTGGTTTGTTAAACTCAGTCTGTGTTGGCCATATCCAATACCATATTCATCAAAATGCTTTGCTTTCTCTCCTCATCCCTGTCTCCCAGGCACTATATGTCTTTTTTTTTGAGACAGATTTTCGAAAAGTAGTTCAGGTTGACTTTGTTTTCCTGCCTCAGCCCCCAAGTGCTGGGTTACAAGTGTGCATCACCATGTCCCAGGCCCAATTTCTGTTAGTTTGTTGTAGGAGTCTAGATGCAGGTAATGGTTAATGGTCTATAGGTTTTTAAAAAGTATGTATTCTCTTTGAAGAATTATATTTGACTGGAGGCAGGAGGATCACCATGAGTTTGAAGCCAGCCTGGGCTACATAGCAAGACCCTGTCCAAGATAAATATATAAATAAATAAACAGATAAAGTTATAACCGTTATCTTCTATGATTTGTGATAACATCAGTAATTTTCTTGAACTTATTCTTTAGCTCATGTCCTGTCCTTAGGTCTTTTACCATAATGTCTCCATTCCTCATTCTTATTTTGGTTCATATCTTGGTTGGTTATTTCTTTAACTTTTGTTGAGGAAGCCGTGCCCTTGCACATATCTCTGTGTCACCTTTGGTTATGAAGGACAACTTTGTTGATGCTTAATTTATATCCTTGTAAGAAATTTCCTCTGCATTCTATGCCCATCTCTCAAGGTGTCCTTCTTCTGAGTAAGTCATTCTTCTCTGTTACCTTTGGTTATCATTATTATTTTTAAATTTCAGGCCTAATTTATAAGCACTCGAAGCAGCCCTTAATTACATATGAAAAACATGATGTGACTATGACTCCCCAGGATGTGGGAGGATCTCACTCTTCGCTCCTCCTGAAGGTCCATGGTAAGTCACGTGTATGGCGGCATCACTGGTTGGTTCACAGGCTGGCTGGATGAGGAACGGTGTCTGTATAACTGAGCAAATTTTGATCAGTCTTTAATGTTTAAACCTTACCATTTACAGGTAGATCACTGACCTTAATTTTTTTTTCTAATTCTTATTAAAAATGAGAAGTAGGGCAAATTTAGTGGTTTTTAATAATGGCTGCACATCAGAATCACCAGTGGAGCTTTTTTTTTTTTGTACCAGGAATCGAACTTGGGACTTTGCTCTTACCAGCTGGGTGCTTATTGCCACTGAGCTATATCCTTGGCCCATCACTGGAGCTTTTAAGACAACTATAACTTAAAGAAGTATCTTAGTTGCTTCTGATTGTAGCAAGCGTTGAATATCACTGGGTTAATTAATTTTCCTGAAACCTGAATTGTTGCTGCTTTTTGAAATAAATGTTAATAACAGAATGGTCTGTGGTTTCCTTGTATCACAGTCCTGGGGTTTCAAAATATGGTTTTATTGATGCACAACCAATCCACACTCAGTGGAATGCTTAAGTATCATGTTTAAATGAGGAACAGTACCATGCTGGAAGCGCATGGCCAGCAGACACCTCTCCCGCTTGCTGGTTCTATCAGTGAAAGTTGTTTCCCTCTGAAAAGTAGCCTAGCTTCTTGCTGAAAAGGTAGGATTTAAAGGTAGGAAAGTATGGGATTATATACTATCCTCATAGAAGGCATTAGTATTTTGGTTGAGCTTACCTTATTTGATGTCTTTGCTCTGTAGTCTCCAGAGTTATCCAGTAAGATCAAGTGGCCATCACTGTCACTACAGTTAAGCTTGAAAATTATCTCATTGTTGATTTGATTCCGTGGTTAATGTGGTATACCTCAGTTAGGTGGTCATTGGGCTTCAAGCTTGTTTCTTTTATTGCTTTTGGAAGAAGATTCTAAAATGGCTACAGATAAGCTGCATTAGATGGTTAAGAGCACAGGTTTTTTTTTTGTTATTATTTTTTTTTTTTTTTTTTTTTTTTTAGGGAAGAGTCTACAGGGTATACAGGGTCTCACTACTAGATCAGACTCATAGTGATCTGCCTGTTTACAGCCCCCCAAGAACTGGGATTACAGGCATGTGCCACCATACCCAGTCTCAATTGCCATCTGGGCACGCTCTGGGGGCAGGGCTGGCATGGCAGGCCCAGATATTGGACATCCGGCCCCTGAGCCTGCTTGCAGGCACTTAAACCATTGAACTATTTGTGGTTTCTTTTGTCATTTATTTCTAGTTTCATTGCACTGTGGTCAGATAATGTGCATGGGATAATTTCTGTTTTCTTGCATATACTTAAGCATGACCT